AAAAAGGATCCTTACGCAACATATGCTCGAGAAATGCCCCATAAAAATAAAATGATCGTCCTTCTCCGTTTCCCTCCTCCTAGTCCAATTTCCTGTGAAATGTCTTCGAATAGAATAGAATTCTCCCAGTTTTTCCTTCTACTTTTTTTTTCTTTTTCTTCCAACCTCCCCCCTCCTTTTTTTTGGTTCCTTATCATCATCATCATCATCATCATCACCGTGAAAACAGGAAAGAGCAGACCGGCAAGACGAACGCAGCGTAACCCGGGCCCTGGCCGGCACACATACACGTCACGTCACGGAACCCAGGAGCCGGCACATGGGTTCCAGACCTCTCTCTTCCTGGGTCGATCCTGGAACAGGCGAAAGGGGCCCCCTTTTCTTGTCCGCACTAGCTTAATACACCTACGGGAGAGGCTTTCTCCCCGGACCCAGTGTTGCCAGGTGTGTCTCTGCCGGGTACAGGACCCGACTCACCAACGACAACGACGACGACGACGACGAAGAGAGCGGCATTCGACCCGGTTTATCCGTCCACTTTACGAAAAGGGATTCCCACCATGCTGTGAGTGTGCGTCGCTCAAACGGATGCTCGAGAAACACAAGTTTGCAGAATGCTGGAAATTATTTTTTTCTCTTTTCTTTGGGGAAAGATTTCATTCGCAGGATCCGCAAATGGCTCGAATTCTCATTATTTCGACAAGAAAAAAAAAAGAGTCGCGGAAGGTTTGCTTGGACTCGGCCGAGAATTCTTCCAACGATTTCCGCATCAAACTCGAAAATTCCGGGGGCTACTGCGTTTCAATCTCTGGATGAGAACCAGATGTCTCCCGAATTGTAAACATAGTCAGTTACTCGCACTGTCGTTTCTCAATACCGAGGTAAATCAGATCGATCTTATTGATGCCGACTCAAGAAAGAGGTCGATAATTGACCTAGAAACCGACTTCCCGAGTCCTCATTCTGATTTCGCTGGTCTCTTCTTTCCGAGGACATTTCCCATCTAATTTGGTGATTCTTTTGTTCCAATCGCCTCGACATTTCACAATTGTGAAGACAATAGTGATCACGTCGGCATTGCTGAAATTGAGAAAAAACCTTTTTTTTTGCAACAGAAGATAATTCAGCCAAAAATAATGGAAACGTACGTTTGGAAACCCCGAATAAGACAATAACACCGAGATTGGTCAATCCGAATGAGTCCATTAACCCAGTAGGTAAGTCCCTAAAATAAGTGTTCCATTTTCAAAAATCGTCAAAAATGTCGAGTTGAACGTCAATCCTTCTGATTGAGAAGGAGAACATTAAAAAAGCGGGACATCAAAATTGCCATACTAAAAGGAGAACTCCAGTATATTTTCCAAACCCCGTGAGCCTTGGTAATTTTTCTTTTATTTGGAGCTGCACGTTCGCATTTCGCAATTTATTATAGTGTACATATAAATAACGCTGATCTTGAATCATTCAAGCAAAATGCGGATCAAAACTTTTATGAATTGAAATACAGGCAAAATACAGAGGGGCCCACACATTTGGAAGATCCCAGTTAGAGACATTTTAAACTTGTAAAATTTGAAACGTTTTGAACGAACTGATCTTTTTATATTCAAAAAAGTGAAAATAAATATTATAGTAAAGTATAATAAATCCTCTATACAGTCATGTGCATTCCAAAACAAGCTAAATTTGCGCTTCTTTCTTCTGAGTTTTTTTCCCCATCATTTGTGCAAAGTTTAGGAAGACTTGTGCTTGTTCTTCTATTCTTACTTCTTTTTTACATTCCGAAAGATCGGATTATATGTGATTTTCTTCTGGATTGTTATTTTCGGCATATTTATATCCGGAAATTTTATTCAGTGTTTGGGGAGCTTTTTTCTGATTTGTAACCAACAAGAGAAGAAATTGAAGTCCAAGGAAAAATATTATCCAACACGCGGAAGTTGCAACAAAAAGACAGTTTCTAAGCACTAAATACGTCCGCATCTCGGGGCTCAACTTTCAAAATGTGTTTTCCTACTGAAACACGCAACTCTTTTTTTCATCGCATAAGTTTTGAAGAGAATAAAACTTCGACTGGTCGCAACGTGTTTTTTGAATTTAATTTCTTTTCTTTTTATTTGAATACAGTACTCTTATTTATAAATAGGTTAGTTGAAATTAGAATGAGTACGTGAAGGGACGTTTCATTTAGTCGAGCCATTTCCTTGAGCTAATTTTAATGTACCCCCGGCACCACATGTTAATCGCATCTGCAAACGGGAAAGCTGTCATACAGATACTGTACTGTACTGTACTTTGCTGCACTCGTATCCAACAGACACGGCGCTTTTCAAGAGCTCAGCAAGGACTCAAGTCACAGAGTCCTGCGGCGGCTCAGGCGGAGAGAGAACTTTCCAGACGGGAATGTCCCCGTGATAGAAAGCTCGGGGAATGCCGCTCGGAACGGGGAGTAGGAGAGCCAGTTTAAATAAAAATGAGATGACAAGAAAACAAAAAGAAACGCGGGTGGGAATTAAAATGAAAAATAAAATCCAATTTGAAAAAGAAAAGAAAAAGCAGCAGCAGCAGCAATGCTTCCGCATGGGGTCGGTCTGCATGCCATGCAAGTCCCTCACCCACCCACCCCCCCAAACTCAGTCAGGCCTTCCCTTTCCTTTTCCTTTGGGCCAGCCCCATCATCATCGCTCCTACGCAACGTTGTACCCCCGGCCATTTCCCGGAACAGCATTTTCCTCCCCCCCTCCTGAGCTCTGCGCTTCCTGTTCGCGCGCCCTGGGTTCGGGTTCGGGTTCTCCCGACAGACCGACCTCGTTCGTCCTTTTTCGGGACACCAACACACTCCTGCCTGCCTACACCACCGGCCAAGGACCGTTTTTTTTTTCTTATCCTCTCGAGTCTGTGCCGCGGTGAAATTGTACAAGAAAGCTCTCAGCCACAGAAAGGCATTTACAGTAATCTCTACGCACGAGTCCAGAACTGACCGCGGCGGGTGTGGGACGAAAAGGCGTTCCGGCGGTTGTTCCGGAAAATCCAATCCTCTCCCGGCATCTCTTCTTTTTCTTATACACATGAGCCATGGTAACGCGCAGAAAAAAAAAATATATATATATATGCACAGTAGATCAGCAACTTCACGCTAGAATTTTTTTCTTCCATCAAAGGGAAAGGGAAATTCTGTTGCAACGAAATTTTTCTTGGTCCCAACAGTTTATTGAAAAGAACGTTTCCCACATAATTTTAGTCTTGAATGCTCCTAAAATCAAGAATCTCTTCACGAAAAATTGTATGGCACAAGAAACTTTTTCATTTGTCCCTGGACGTTCGTTATAACACGATTTTACAATCGTGAGTTCATCCATCACGCGTATTGATTTCATGAAACGAATAGGCACAGCCTTGCATGATATTAGTCAGAGAAAACCCCGAAAGATGATACGAAAAAATAACATATGCGAAGTGATTGGACTTCAATGTCAAATATTACTCTGTTCGGAGCAAGAACTACTGTACTTCACAAGCATTTTCGATCAGCTGCAAAACTAACCTTGCACGCGGCTCAAATATAAATTGGACGCTTACTTGGGAGTTTCGAGTCAACGAAAGGACTAATTTCCATTTAAATTAAATATCATCAAAATTCCTTCGAAATCATTTTCCAAACAATATTCAGCATTCCGACGAGAGGACGCGGGCTAAAATTTCCGAGAGAAGTATTAAAACCACGCAGATTTTTCTCGCACGCATCTTTGGCGCGTAAATATTGCATAGTCAAAATGAATCTTACTACACACGTTTGTTTTCCTTTCGAATTAAAAAAAAAAATGAAGAGAGAGCTTCAACGATCCGGGCGCCGTCATCTGCGCCAGTCCTCGTCAACACACCACCGCGACGACAGCAACAACGTCGTCGTCACTTCGTCATCCAGGACGGATAAACACTCCGTACATTCAACACCCCCCGAAAACATGATAAGTTTCTCAATCTCGAATCACAGCCCACCCAGCATCATAGTGTGCCTGTGCAGAAACTCGCCATTCCTTGGCCAACAACTCAAAAGCTTTCGCGAGATGTTCATATGAAATTTAAATAAATAGAGGAGTATTTATCCCGGGTAAAAACGTGCGTTCAATGCGATGCATCAAATACAGTAATGATTCAAGGAGAAACCCAATGAATCGCGAGAGAACCGCACGAAAGGTCGCGCGGCAACCATCAAAAACGTCTTTAATGGGCGATATTAGCATATAAGATTGCTCGCTGCTGGAAAACCAATTCGGTCGCCTTTCCTCCGTGATCAAAATTTCAAATTGAAATTATCTCACTGCCCTTCAGAATAATCAAGCAACAAGCAGAAAAAAACCGAGGCATCAACTTCAAAATAATTTTGTCCACACGAAAAAAAATACGATAGCGCCATTGATTTTAAGCACATTTAGAGAAGCGTCATCAGCAACACAATTCAACCCAAAGAATCATATGTTTTCTTTTCTTGTCGCGAAAACGCGATAATGGCTGAAAATTTATGAAAATTTTAGCGCGAAGCTTCTCGACGAAACGAAACAGAACAATGAATTTCACATTCAAGCAGCAATAATTACTGAACAGTCAAACCTCTTTAGGTCGAATTTCAAAGGGGAGGGGGGGGGGGAAGAATGGGAGAAAATTATAATTGGTGACAATCAGGGCCTTAAATTAATTCAACAGGATGCTGAACTCCAAGGTAAGGGTTAATTTGCCCAGTTAGTCTTTCACTTCCTTTCAAAACACAGGAAGTGACACATTTCTATCCCTTTTCTCTTTCCTGCGGCAATGAAATAATAGCCCGAAGTCCTCGAGTCAGGGAAGTTCTCAATGCTTTTCTTCAACGTGAATTCACACAAGGACTTGGGGATACAAAATAAAATTGGACACAAGGAGGTTTGAGTTGTCGAGGTTCATCTGTACTATGTAGAATAAATTATGAAGCGACGGAGAAACGAAGGGAACTAGATAGGGTTTACCTCGAGTCCGAGCCCCAATGCATGGCGTAGATTTTGGCGAGGTGGCCTCGTAAAGTGCGTCGGGTTCGCATCTGAATCCGGCCGATTTGTTCCATGCTGGCTGTCGCCTGTGCCAGCGTCGTGTCACATACATTCTTCCGCGCATCCTGTGGACAAGAAAAGAAATGCATCAGCTCAGTACTCGACACACAATTTCAACCGCAAACGCATTCGTCTTCTCCTTCGAGCACGAGGATTGAAAACGTCCGAAGTCAGCTTTCACTGATGTAGAAAGCCTGCCTCCACGGCAACGAATTAGATTTTAGTTTTTTTTTTCCTCATCGGATACGAAGAGAAAACAACACTTTAGAAAATTTCGAAGAAACCCATGGCCGGACAAAAAAAGGAAACGAACAAATGAATGTAGCGCAAAATTTTCGAACGCGCAAAAATCGAGCGAAAAACTATATAATGCGACGTTGCAATAAATCATAGAAAAGTACGCAATCCACAAATGATTACCAAAGATGTAAGGTGTCTCCTAAACGTAAAACCGCAATCAAAATCACACTCGAAATTGCAATGCCGGATTTTGAGGCTTGAAATGTTCTTTAATAGCTCCACGACATGTTGTGCGGACTGTTATTGCTCCAAAGCACCTAAAAATGATAAATTTCTAAATCCGAATCAAGTTTTTGGACACTTTATATTTGTAGCTGAAAATATACGCGTATACATACTGTAAATTGACAAGTATATGCACCATGTAAAGTGCGAAGATTTTCAACATTATATACCGTAACTGGTATCCCCGAAAAAGTCCTTTGTATCGTTGATATATTCAGTGGTTCCCAATCGAATGAACAACTTGCATTACGATTTATTCGCATCAAGAAGTAGTTCCTACTACAGTAGTACCAAAACAAGGACTAGCAGAATAAATTATTTGTGCGAGGACATTTCCCGGTGTTAGGCCCTCCAAAAAAAAATCCTCGAACCTCAGCTCATTACACTCAAAATTCAACATTTTTAGCACACACAATGTAAGACTCATTTGAGGCGGAAGAATCCATCCTCGCGACATGTTTTGAATGTTGGAAAAGAGAGGTAAAATCATCCCATCCAACCCTAGAAACGCAAGACATTCTGGAATTTGTGAGCTAATATTTCTGGAGTTTTTTTTTTCAAGGCCATGCGAGGCGACGAGACGACTAAAAATCACTGACATTAACAAATCAAAACCGTTCTTTCTCGTTTAGTACGAACTATTGCATTTTCAATCTGCAGAAATACTGCATGTCATTCCGGCGATTATTCAAGTAAAATTCTGGATTTTTCGTGAAAGAGAAGGTTGAAAAAGGTAAACTTATTGAATATGCAGTCATTTTGACAAATTCTTTGCAACTGAAAATTTTCGCACCGTGAAACATCAACGAAGCATGAAAGCTTCACGGAATTTTGAAGCAGAATGCGTGTTGTAAATTTTTCCTCCCGTCAATATAAAGAACAAACGGATGTCTCCATTATGTCACAATTTTAACGAAAAAATAATAATTTCCAGTAGTTAGTCGTCTGGACAATGCCGGGATTTTTTTTTTAGCCTTCAACAGTGGTTCAGCTTGCTTCGGCGAACATTTTGGATTGCAACTTGCTGAAGTTAGCACTGGAGGTTCGTGAAATAAAAGTCAAGCTTCAATAATGCTTGCAAAGGCAAAAGAAATATTCATGCAGAAAATTGAGAAGAAATTTGCCTTCCCTTGGCAACAAATACAAATGAGGGTTTTTGTAATGTGACACGAATTGAATAATTGTCACTGACAGAACTTTGGTAATTTCGAATTCATCGGAAAATATGCAACCCGTTCATGATTGATGAAACCTCTCACTAGACATGCAAACCTTGTGCAATCAAGAAAGATGTCAGTACAAAATTTTGAAATATTCATTTAATTAATAAAGTAGAGCCGCGTTACGAAGAATATAGATACGAATAATTATCAATTAAAACGAAGTCGTTTCTGATGTACCTGACCAATAGCGACAATTTTAAATGAAATACTTATAACGTTCGCGTTTCTTCTTAAGACCAGAATGGAGTATTTTCATTTTTCCACGACGAATAGCATGATTTCGTCAACCTGCAACGCGGTCGACCCGGTCACGTCGGGGGAGCGAGGAAACGGGAGAAACAATTTATAAAAATAAAATAGAACATGGTGCCATGTTTAATGAAACCATGCACGCAATTGACCTAAATCTCTCCTCACACGTTATTCGTCCTCGGACCACGTACTGTACTTGATAGTGAAAAACAGAAGTCAATTACGCAAGCTACTCGAGAGAGTCCGGATAAATAATAAACGGAAGCATCCTCTAGCTGAGGAATTGAAATAAAAAAGAAGAAGAGATGACGAGGCAAACAAGGCGAAGGATTTCTATCGTCACTACTCCAGCATTCTCGCGTCAACCACCTGTCGTTCATGCGGTCAATAATTGATGGATGATGGATGTTTCGCCTTTTCCTCATGACGAAAGAGACTCATCGGGAATCAGAAGGGCAAACACACACGAATTCTGTTTCATTTCTGAGTAGCTAACGATTATTCAACAGATAACAGCAGAATGACGTTCGGCTGCTTCGAAAGATTAAGGCACTCGAGAAACAAGACGTGAGATATTCGTTCGAGAAATTTCTCACGTTCAACAAATTGTAGATACTTAACATAAGACAAAATCTGAAATTTTCTTTCGAAAATGCGACGACAAACCAGTCTGAGAATATAATTCTGGTTCAGTGTTGAAAGTATCAATCCCAAGGATCCTCTTTAGGCTTCCCAGCGCAAATCAGTCAGAAAGTGGAATTTCAACCTATTAATTTTCAACAATGATTTCCCTTTCTACTATCCTAGTTATCCCTGAATACCCTACATATACGAGGGCTCAACAAATGCTCTCGATCCAGAAATTGAAACGGCATACGACGAAGCCAAAAAACACTTATTGTTCCAAAAAAAAGTCAGCCTTTTCAAAACTTTTTTCCCCCACAAAAGTCACCCTAGCAGATTTTCGCTCATCATTCAAAATATGATGCGCCCATCTCGCAGATTCTTCGGGTGCCCCAGGGTTCCCTACAAAATTCAGAAAATCGAAATACTGTACTGTAGCACCAATCCTAAGGGTTGCTACCATTAATTGATTTAAAAATCCTACATTTATTTCATCAACAGCCGCCTTCACAGTCGCCAAATTCTCATGCCAAGTGACAGGTGTTAGTGGAAATGGCGGCATCGCCTCGGTAGACTTGCAGGCAACCACTTGAATCAATACCATTCGGATTTCAAGAATTCTGAAGGATCAGCTGGAGTGCACCAAAAGTCCGTGAAATGGAGGCATCTTTCGAGTGAAGCGCAGAAATCAGGGTGACTTTTGCAACAACAAAAAAGTCAAACAGGGTTAGCATTTTATTTTCTTTTGCCGACGATTTTTTTGTTTGTTTCTGAACAATCATTGTTTTTCAATTCAATCATACGCTGTCTCAATATATATTCCGAAAAAAGTGTGTTCTACCCAATATAATGTACTGTATATGATTGGTGAGGTGATATTTTCTAGGCATGAAATTCACATTGCCTGTTGGGATGAGTTTTTGATCGTTCGTGTAATGTGAATTTACTGTACAGCTTTTTCCCCTCACAAGTCTTTCTTGCACTAGAAACTTCGAAGTTGCTCTGAAACAATAGAATGACGATATGAGAGGGGAAAGTATGACTTCAACCTATTCCGGATGACAGTACAGACAGCCGATTAATTCTCATGGCTTATCAAAATTCATATTGAAAATGCGTTAAAAATGTTCCTTTTCAAAAAAATTTTTTTTGCCCAGAACGCAGGAAATAAACCTTTGCAGATCGAAAATTTCGTTACAGTGCACAGAAATAGTTTTTCTGTGCACCGTCTATACTCTATAGGAATGAACGCTGGCAAGTGTTCGCTCAAAATCAACAACCCTGGAGGAGCTATTTTTGCAGTGCCCTTGGCAAGCTTCACCCAAAAAAAAAGAGAAAGAAAAATATATTTCTTCGCAGAATCGAACGTGGATTCCCGGGGAATACGATCGAGGTTCAGATCGTTGCCACTCTTTCTTGGGGAGACGAACCTCAGAAACCGGAAGGAAGCTCTATGCAAATCTTCACACAGGTGGATCTCAACAGACCTTCCGCAATGTTCGACCACCTGGTCTCGGACACATGCAGCAAGAAAGGGGAACAAAGAGAGCATGCTTTTCTCAGAAAATTGATTAAATCGAGAATGCAGTCGTCACAAAGTCAATTCCTGAACTACTTCAGTCAAAATTGAGCTTGAAAAGACTCCAACCAAAACTTCTAACAAGCAAAGAAATACTCACAGAAAAAAAAAACGGATTACGATTTAGAACGATGAAACAAGAATTTAGCAGACGATGGCCGCTTACAAATTGAAAAAAATGCTGACAACTGAATGAATCCGATCCTACGTAATATAGTGAAATCTCGTTACGACAGACTTTTGGCAACTTCAGAAAAAGTCTTTTACACGGGTTAATTATTTTAACGACATCTTTATGATTAATGACAGGGACACATTTTCGCATCAGATCTGCAAATAATCAATTACATCTTGGCTGCCTGGCATTCTCGGATTTTTCATCATTTTTCTAAAAAATGAGTGATCTTCCAAAAAACAAATTAGCTTAATCCAGGCGAACGCTTTTAAGGCTCGAAGACGTTTATATATGGTACTGGAATTTGGAAGTAGAGTATGTCATAACGAGGCTGTTTCAACATATACTCCACGTAGTGCACGAGCTTTCCGTTGGGACTTGAAAAAAGTTTGTTATGATTAAAACTTTATTGTAACGGCATTTTTGTAATGATATCCAGCTGTATAATAACTATAATTCCATTGGAATTAGGTGAATTTATAGTAGCAGAATTTTCAAAAGTAGATTCAGCTCCTGGCAATCAAAATCGGAGACAAGTGCAAATACTGCATTTGCTTAATTTTGAACTTAAATTCCTAGAGGAAAAAGCTGAAAAATGCCGTGTTTCCCCGATTAACCCGAAATTGTTTTCGTTTCAAACTCTCGCAGCGCTTTTCTCCGCACGAACTCGAGGACCTTCAAGGGAAACTTTTATAGATCAAATTATCGGCTTCGCTCCGGTAGCGCCAAAGTGGCAAGAATAACCCGACCCCTTCATTCGCCATGCGGAAGAATAAAAATAATGAGATCGATTCAACGGAAGTCGGGCGAGAATAATAAATACGTTTCCCAAAAACCAGGGTATTTTCGACATCGCCGTCGATGACCCGCATCCGAAACCAAGCGACAGCTCTTTCCTCGAAAAGAATGACGGAGTAGTTTGGAAAATCGAGCTGTTTCCCGGAAAAAACACGCATCCGAAAAACAATTCCATCCTCTCCTCGCAAAATGCAACTGATTTCTCTCCTCGAAAAAAAAAAAACATCATCATTATTTTTTTCATGCGATCCATCATCCTCACGCCAAAAAAAACGACGATTCCATCCGATGTTACCACTATAATGACTTTCAAGGCATTGAGAGAATCGGTAAAAGGAACTCACCCTAATATCGTTCTTGAGCTTCTCAGCTTCTTGCCGGAGGGCATCTATTTCAGCTGACATTTCTAGTGATTACAGGACCTGAAACAGAGAAAGGAGAAATGAAATGAGAGATTAGAACATCAGCCACCACTTCGAACACACATCCGCTCGATTGATGAGCGAGCGAAGACTTTTTCCTCTATAGACACTTCACGGACGAATGAACACGCGTCAATCGAAAAGAAAATTAGACTGATGGAGATTTTCTGATATCAAACAGGAAATGATTTTAAATTCATCGCGTAGTTCAAAAATAAAACCGTTTCAGCAGACGAGCGTGAGATAGATCGAAGTAGAAAAAATGCATCCGGAGTAAGATCTTGCGGCCCGAAAATCCGACAGGTTCCAGATGTAAAAATAAAGAAAGAAAGTTTCAAGAATTCGGATGACAACGAATGGAATGTTCGTAATAATCGACTTGTTTGAGGAGGTCCATCATCAATGCATTTTTCAGGCTTCATCAACACTGCAGTTTTTCATACGGCATTTTTCGGACTTGGAAGCAATCTTGTCCCACGAGATATTTTCATCCACCAAAGCAGACCAGTTATGAAAGTTGCTAAAATAGTAAGACAATACGTAGTGACCATAAGTTTTTTCGGCTACTCAGTTGATACGAAGATTTTCTTCCGTTTTATAAAATATGTGAAATTCGCCTTAAAGACGAAAGCCATTTCAAAATGCGCGGCGGAAAATGAAAAATTGATCCATTCGTTAAACTCGCGAGAGATAAAAAATGCAGGTCACAATGGTTTGACCTCTTACGTCATCAAAAAATCTCGCAAACGTGGGAAACAAACCAAACGAAGTCTTTATTCGGCGGATATGCTCAACATTCATGAAAAAAAAAAAAGAAACCATGACAGGAGACGAGAAGGAAAAGAAATACCCAGCTGAACTATGATAACCCGAAGGTTCAATTCTCCACGTCGCATTTGTTTCGAGTCCGAGCCTGAATTCCCTCAGAAACAATGCACAAAAATCCTCCACAACTCAAAGGCTTTCTTTCGAAAATATCCTGAACTCGTATCTCGTATTTTCTTGAGGTATTTTGGCTATTATTTCATTGACACGCACAAGATAAAAGAAATACAAATTTAACTTGATGCGTTTTGAGAGGCAAAGAAAGACCAATTTGGCACATGACCCCTTGCCTCCAAGTTCAGCATCCTTTCAACTCATTTAAGAATCAATATTAGGAACAGAAAATCACCAATTTCAATTTCCTGTTACTCTCAATTTTTCCCCTCGCTCAAATGCTTGTTTCACTCCTTTTTTTTTTTTTGCTGGTCCCTTGAAGTTCAAAATGGAAAGAAGGTTCGACTGCTCAAAATTCGGATATTGGCGTACTCGGAAGCACATTGGCACGGAATTGAGCTTCGGCTCTCGACCAGCAATTCAGTACCGATTGACCCGGAACCAGAATAGTTGAGCAAAAGGCTTTCTAAATATTGTACACCTGTCGGAAACGGTTACGGGTGGGCGTCCGAAGCCAGTTTTATCTCGACATTGCACACACTGAGTATATTGCATCACACACACACACACACACACCCGCATCACTTAAAAGAATACTGTACAGTACTTGAATGCTCATAATTTCATGAACGGGAATCGAACCGAACTCGATACTAATGTGTCCTTGCTGAACTTCCTAAGCGTCCAACTATCGAACATACTGCACTGTACTGCACACGGCGATCAATTGCTAAATAAAAACCACGAACACTTCTTCCCTTCCGACATGTTTGCCAAAAAAAGGTACTACAGTATTCTTGAAGAATTAAAGGCAATTCAGGCATCATCCGAAAAACAACGTGCTTGGGAAAAGTTGAAAAAGAAATGGCTCCTGCTTTCCCTTCCTCTCAGCACAAGTCATTCAATGATGAAACGATTCTGGTGATGAGAAAATAATTGTTCCCATATAATGTTTGTATGTACAATACTTTACCTCTCTTTCACCACATAATACACAAGGAATGATTGAAGATGAAGTATAAAAATACCGCAAAATCTTGCTATGGCTGAGAAGGCCGAAAAACGTAGCATTCATTTTCTCATGAATCTGATGCTTCATTTCTCTCGATTGAAAGTCTGAATTTTCTCCCTCCTGCATTGAAATCCTCACCAGCGTAAAATTTCAGAATGTAACCCGAGAACTTCGAGAACGTGCATGTTGGCTCAGTATAACCATCCCCTTGTTAGCCAATTCTCCATTTTCTCGATTCTATATGCACTTCACTCGTGGATGAAGTTTTACTCTTCATCAATGTTAGAATAAAGAATGCCCACTTGCCCATATTTAAAATGAGGGAAAATGGCGGAAAATTGTAATGCGGTAAATAATTGAAGAGCACTGCAAATCGATCTCAAGTCCGCTCGGAGGCGCTACATTAGACGCGCGACGGCTTGGCGGAGAAATAAAGCAGCATCTTCTGAAGAGAAGATGGTCTTCTACGGCCTACCGGGAAAATTAAATTCAGAAAAACTACGGTAAATAAAAGTCCCCCTTGAAATGAGTCGAATAAAGTTTTCACACCTCTCCAGTACATAAATTTAAGGCGTTGGTACATTTCTCCTGGCAAGGCGACGATCCTGCCGGTTTACATCAAATTCACCAACTTCTTCCGAGGCCATCTGGCCTCATTCGTCCCTTCCAGATGGTTAATTTCAACTCGTTTCACAAAGAAAACACATGCGAGACAATAAAACTCGCGACACCACGTGTGCACCGTTTTATTCCATTCGAAAACCTAACATACTCAACATACGAGGGCTCTAACAAAAGTTCGTTTGGTAAAAACTTGATTGATCTGAAAACAATTGCTGTATCGTCCAGAAACCAAATTCTGCGGCTTGCGAAAAAAAAAATCAGCCGTGTGAAATCTTTCGCGGGAAATGTTCGCAGCATTATCCGCTCTTCATTCCAAAGATTAAGGGCCCACCGCGCAGATTTCAGTGTGAGAAGCCAAGCTTCTCGTTTGGAATTCTAGAAAACGGCATTGCTTATAAGGACAAGCGTGTCCTCCAGGTCTTTTAAGGTCATTCCGCCACTTTGATCAACAGCGCCTGTTAAAATGGCGCAATTAGTAATCAATCAATGGCGGCAACACTTGGAATTAACGCCATGTTAACTTCGAAAATTATGGTTATGTTATTTCCGATTTGTAATGTACGGGGAAAGCTTGGGTAAACCAAAGAAGTCTGTGAGATGGGGGGCTTGATGTTTTTAGTCAAGAGCAGAAAGTTGCCAGGGTGACTTCGGCATAAAAAATGTAAAAAAAAAAAAAAAAAAAATATGCAAAACAAGACTCACTTTTTTTCTTCGGGCCGAAGAAATAGTTTTCAACAATAATTGTTTTTCAGTTTATTAGTACGCTGTTTCAATTAATATTACGCGAACAATCCGTCAAAGCCCCTCAAAAATTAATATGCGAGTCGTTGTCAAGAAAATCATACCGAACTTTTACTACCGAACGACATTCATCAAAAAACCGAAGAGATCTCGAAATTAAAATTCGAACAAACAAAAAGGGCCGTCTCACTCTTTTAAAATCCTACTTGTCAGTGAACCGCGCCAACGACAGCACTAATCACCATGCAATTGAATGACAAAAAATATGTTTGTTCAAAATCAGAAGTCACAAAAATCGCCTTCATATAAAATGAAAAAAGCCCTCCCATCCCCATAAATGCCCTCAGCAAATTCCAGCCCAGATCACGAGGAAGCTGCTCATTCCAAGCCAGTCGCGAAAACAAAATATAAATAAAATGAAATACAAAAAAAATGAAGAATTCCTACATCCCCGGCGACGATCGGGCAGAAGTTCCCACGCCCACCTGTTTCGTCGCTGGCAACGCTCGGGACCAACAAGTTTGCACAAGAACGGAAACTACAACAACCCACCCCCGAAAAAGCGGGGCAGAATAAGGGACGCAATCGGAGAGAAACCCGGGTCGCGATCGATGCGGGCCGACCGACGATAGTGTCACGAAGGTTTGTTGCGGGAGAATATATTTATAAAAGTTGAAGAAAATATAACACAGAACTCGGTTGGGCTACAACCGGGGTGCTCGAGAACACCCTATTTTAAAGAAGTTGTATTCACAATTC